ACAGATGCTTCATTGATCTACCGAGGCTGCGCGTACAGCAGATCTGTTGACTGCAGCTGTTATTCAATTCGGCGCAAACTCCAGAAAAACTTCTCCTGCCAGCGGCCAAACAGAGATCTGACTCACTTCCCTTCGCCGAGGGGTTTCGCCGCCATAGCATTCCTCCATCGACCGGGGCTGAACCACTGTGACTCAGCAAAAACATAAACATCTCCAACACCGGGAGGGGTTGCACGCAAACAAAGGGGAAGCGGTTATATTTAATTCATGAGCTCGCGCAATACAGGAAAACCAGATCATCCGACGCGAGGCCTGGAAGCTCCTGGCAGCCGGCTCTGGAAGATCAGCTCGGCCTACCAGGAAACGGGGAGAAGACGCACAGCGGCCGCCACGGGCACGCATCAGGCAGGAAGGGGTTGCTTAGGCTGGTTAATGTCAGTGGATATTTACTGTCACCGGGTGGGCTGTTGCATCCTGCAGGGCACAGCTGCATTTCCCATAGGACAGCTCCATCTTAATGGGCAAGCCAACGCATAATGAAGCACGGGTGGCGGATAAATGGATGCAGTGGAAGCGACAGACAAATCTGTTTTCACCCTGGGAACCGTCTTTTTGTAGTCTAACGCGCAGTCGGATCTGTTTGCCTCTCCACACAGGCAAAAAAACAGCTGTATGTTTTAAACCAGAGAGGGATAAACGGTTCTCGATTATTAGCCCCTATGTAGCCACCAGTTTAAATAATAACACGTTTATTTTATTAGAGGACATGAAACCAGCTGGCGTCAGGTTTTAAAAACGTTTTCTATCTATTCTAGCCCTTAATTGGTCCGATTGCTTCAGAATTCGCCTCTTTTAATTCGAACTCTTTCGCATGGGTAAACACACCGAAACTTAAAACAACTTACAAATCCACCCGACAGCTAAATGGCAGATTTTGTGGCCCCCTTCCTGCTCCAGCACTCATGCATGTGATTGAACTAGCAAACACTTTAGGCAAATAGTTTGTACAGATCTGGTGTCTCAACGCAGCAAGAACTGATTTTGTTTGGGCACTTGGGGGCAGCGCAACAAGCTGTAAGTACCGGTTTACAGTGTCGGTTCCAGTACTGGTCCCGGTTTCGGTGCTGGCACCGCTTGTGGTGGCAGTACTGGTTTGAGTGCTGGTTCTGGTTGCGATGGCAGTATTGATTTTGGTTTAAGTACTGGTTTTGGTGGCAGAAAGGGTTTTGGTGGCACT